TTTTTTGAGACAGAGTCTCGTTCTGTTGCCCAGGCTGAAGCGGTGGTGTGATCTCAGCTCACTGCAACCTCTGCCTCCCAGGTTCAAGCAATTTTCCTGCTTCAGCCTCCCTAGTAGCTAGGACCACAGGCGTGTGCCACCATACCCGGCTAGTTTTTTGTAATTTTAGTAGAGACGGGGTTTCACCATGTTGGTCAGGCTTGTCTTGAACTCAGATGATCCACCTGCCTTGGCCTCCCAAAGTGCTGGAATTACAGGCGTGAGCCACCGCACCTGGCCGATTTCAATAGATTCTTTCAACAGTTTTAAGATATTTTTGTTGTGGCTATAAACATGTAAAATTTGCCATTTTAACTATTTTTAATTATACAATGCAGTGGTGATAATCACATTCACAATGTTGTACAACCATTATTACTATCTATTTCCAAAACTTTTTTATCACCCCAAACAGAAACTTTGTACCCGTTAAGCAATAATGCCCCATCTCACCCTCTCAACCCCTGGAAACCGCTAATTTACTTTCTATCTCTATGACTTTGCCTATTCTAGATATTTTATACAATACTCATCCTTTTGTGTCTGTCTTATTTTACTTAGCATGATATTTTCGGGGTTCTCTACGTTGTAGCAGGTATCAGAACTTCCTTCTTTTATGGTTGAATAATATTCCATTGTATGTGTAAGCCATCTTGTGTTTATCCACTCATCTTTTGGTGGACACTCAGCTTTTTTCTACCTTTTGGCTACGGTAGTAATGTTGCAGTGAACATTGGCATACAGGTATCTGTTTTGAGTCCCTGTTTTTAGTTCTTTTGATTGTTTACTCGACAGACTGTTAAATTCCTTAAGAGCAGGGTACCTATTTTATTCATCAATTTTCTACCCCTGGCATCTAGTATAGTGCATATCACTTAGGAGTCATTCGATTAACGTTGAACTAATCAGAATGTGTCTGTGTTTCCTAACTTTAGGCAGTAGATTGAATACAGGAAGACTTTTTGGTAGGCCATAAAGTTGGTATAAAATGAAAGTTTAAGCCTGTGTTGCCATGTTTTATAAGGCAGATTGCTAAGTTTGAACTTCTTAGGAAGAAATTGCTTTAGTCTCAGACTATGCTGTTAGCTGAAAGGCCAACTAGGTTGTGTTTCATTTCTTGTGGGTCTGTTTTTGTTTTTAACAGTGAATGCATAAAAATACAGCCAACTGACATCCAACCTGACATATTCAGCTATTTGTTGCATATTATGTACACGGGGAAAGGGCCAAAGCAGATTGTGGATCATAGTCGTTTGGAGGAAGGGATTCGATTTCTTCACGCCGACTACCTTTCTCACATTGCAACTGAAATGAATCAAGTGTTCTCACCGGAGGCTGTGCAGTCCTCAAATTTATATGGCATTCAGATCTCAACAACCCAAAAAACAGTTGTGAAACAAGGACTGGAGGTCAAAGAAGCTCCTTCTAGTAACAGTGGAAACAGAGCTGCTGTCCAGGGTGACCACCCCCAGTTACAGCTGTCTCTTGCTATTGGTCTGGATGATGGCACTGCAGACCAGCAGAGGGCCCATCCTGTCACCCAGGCACTGGAGGAGCACCAGAAGCCCCCAGTTTCCATCAAGCAGGAGAGATGTGACCCAGAATCTGTGATCTCCCAGAGCCACCCCTCACCCTCATCAGAGGTGACAGGCCCCACTTCTACTGAAAACAGTATCAAAATACACTTATGCCATTACTGTGGGGAACGTTTTGATTCCCGTGGTAACCTAAGGCAACATCTCCATACACATGTGTCTGGATCCCTGCCATTCGGTGTCCCTGCTTCCATTCTGGAAAGCAATGACCTTGGTGAAGTGCATCCCCTTAATGAAAACAGCAAGGCCCTTGAATGCCACAGGCTCAGCTCCTTCATTGTTAAGGAGAATGAACAGCAGCCAGACCACACCAACCGGGATACCACAGAGCCTTTGCAGATCAGTCAAGTATCTTTGATCTCCAAAGACGCAGAGCCAGTAGAATTAAACTGTAATTTTTCTTTTTCAAGGAAAAGAAAAATGAGCTGTACCATCTGTGGTCATAAATTCCCTCGAAAGAGCCAATTGTTGGAACACATGTATACACACAAAGGTAAATCTTACAGATATAACCGATGCCAAAGGTTTGGTAATGCATTGGCCCAGAGATTTCAGCCATACTGTGATAACTGGTCTCATGTCTCCCTGAAAAGTTCTCGCTTGTCACAAGAACACTTAGACTTGCCTTGTGCCTTAGAGTCAGAGCTTACACAAGAAAATGTGGATGCTATCCTAGTTGAGTAGCAGCTTCTCTTTCAGAATTTTTATACCAATTCTGAAAAAGAAAATTCGCATGGCATTTTTTATTCATAAATTATTTTCCTCCTCAAGTTTGGTTGACTTTTTTTCTTCACAGCTTATCCATGGTTTTAAGGTTGTATATATTAGATCTTCTCATAAGACATACTAATATGTGGCTATTAAAATGTAACATTCAATTACTACTGTGAACTTTTCACAAATGAAATTACAATTTAGAAATCAGAAATCAATGTAGAAATATGGAAACTTTATTTATAGAATTTCTAAGTTTTTCCAGTTACAGAACCAGTAAAATCAGATTGAATATAAAGTAAATGAAATCTGTTTTAAAGCATATTCTAAACTATCACTTCTGCCTACATTTCACATGAATTCACTCCTGCAAGGATTATTTTTAAATGTTTTCTTCCATATAGGAAATTAATACTTATTTTAGTGCATAACTATATGTTATACATATGTTATAATGTATAAAAATTTATTTTAAGATATACCAAATCATGAGTAGGTTTATTTTTTAACAACTAGCTCTACAACATCTTACCTACATGGCTTCTCTTTACTTTTTAACATTGAGTATACCTCATTTTTTTTTTTTTTTTGAGACAGTCTCCCTCTGACGCCCAGGCTGGAGTGCAGTGATGTGATCTCGGCTCACTGCAAGCGCCACCTCCGGGTGCACGCCATTCTGCCTCAGCCTCCTGAGTAGCTGGGACTACAGGCGCCTACCACCATGCCCAGCTAACTTTTTTGTGTGTTTTTAATAGAAACGGGGTTTCACCGTGTTAGCCAGGATGATCTCTTGACCTCGTGATCCGCCCGCCTCGACCTCCCAAAGTGCTGGGATTACAGGCATGGTATACCTCATTTTTAATAAGAAACAGTTAAAAGAAAGGGAGAAGAGTCAGAGAGAAATTAAAAAATCTTTAAGAAACAGTAAGATATACACACATAGATAAATAAACATGCAGAGACAGAGACTGAGCTAGAACTACATTGACTAAAAACCCCAGGGTTGTTACCTTGGTGTATAGTGTTTTCTTAGACAGCTTAAAAAGCAATTTGAGATTTTTATGACCAGAGGTTTACATGAGTTGAAAGAGAAAGATGATAAAATATAAATCATCTTTCTACCCTCAATGTCAGAGGATTTTTGGGGCTTCCTGGGTTGATACTAATTTTCTAAAAACCACTTGAAAAAGTAGTTTTTCAGTGGCACAGTTTTTACTTTTTTCCTGATCCATAAAGCCAGCAAAGTGGATACATTCAGTGTTCTGTAACTGCATTTAAAATCCATGATGTTAGCTTTCCCTCTACAAATCAACTTAACCCTCTTTTATAATGGTGACACTTACAAAGCTAAAACCCCAGGAGAGTTCAAGTTGATGGAATAAATTACAGATTCCCTGGCTCTATATACCTGGGAAATAGCTGGTTAAGCTTCACCACAAACGATACATCTAAATCGTTTCTGAAATGTTTAAATTTCAAACACCGCATAGTCAAGGATAATAAAACAGACATATTTTTTTGCCCTCTTGTTAAATTCTAAGCTTCACAGGCATTTGAATACATCTAAAAAATTTGGTTTGTGAGCCTTAGAATTTAACCACTTACAAAACTCTTGAGCTCCCTCCACTTCCGAGGATATTTCCTGACACATTCAACAGCATCAGCGTTCAGTCAGGAGGGAGCTCAAAGAGTAATCCACCTAATTCTAAGGACACAAAGGTTTTCTCTAGATAAACAGTTTAGGTAAATTACAAAGTGGTAAGTTTTTCTTGAGGATTGAATGAAGAAAAAACTACTGGATATTGTGTCAGGCAGTTGAGTTTCTGCCTTAGACAAGTGAGTAAAGGCTCCTATGGTCAAGACTGATGTGTGTTGAGAACAAATCTAAGTATTTATAAGATCAATTGTATTGGGAGTAATTAAAACAAATGTATTGCTCTTTGGGGTCAGAACTCAGAACTTCATCTAATCTTAAACTTTTTCCTACCAATTCACTTAGGCAACTATTCAAATTTGTACTGCCCTCAAAGATTTCATCTCATTGGAAGAACACAAGTATTAACATTTATTTTTTGTATTTTAGGCTAGTTAGGATATATTTCCTAGCCTTAATTTTTCTCCTCTGTATTCTTCCCTATTTGCCCACTCATTATTATTATTTATTATTATTATTATTTTTTAAGGAGTTTCGCCCTTGTTGCCCAGGCTGGAGTGCAATGGTGCAATCTCGTCTCACTGCAACCACTGCCACCTGGGTTCAAGCGATTCTCCTATCTTAGCCTCCCAAGTAGCTGGGATTACAGACATGCACCACCACACCCAGCTAATTTTGTATTTTTAGCAGAGACGGGGTTTCACCATCTTGATCAGGCTGGTCTGGAACTCCTGACCTCAGGTGATCCACCAGCCTCGGCCTCCCAAAGTGCTGGGATTACGGGTGTGAGCCACCGTGCCCAGCCCACTCATTATTCTTTGACGCAGGAAATCCTTGTATATAGCTAAAGGGTGGAGGTAGAGTTGTATATGGATGATGGGATAAGACAGCAAGCATGTCAGGGCAGAGTGTGGGAAATGGTAAGAGTTTGTTAGCAGCTGATTGGCCGTGATAGACGACACTGATTTAACGCAGAAATATATCTGTTTGTTGAGAGTTAAGAAAATAGTTGTTAACTATTTCTATTCTTACAGTTCCTTTTAATATTAGGAATTCAAAGCAAATGCTCTTTCCTTGTTCCTTATAACATTCATTCTGTTTAAGAAGTGGGAAAATATCAACTTCATTTTATAGAAAAAAAGTCCCAAAAGCTGAATTCCAGAGATGCAGTAAATGGTGTGGGACTGACCTCCAGTTTTTGTTGTTGTTGTTGTTTTCATTTATGCTGCAGGGTTTTTTTGTTTTTTTTTTTTTTGAGATGGAGTCTCACTATGTCGCCAGGTTGGAGTGCAGTGGTGCTATCTCGGCTCACTGCAACCTCCGCCTCCTGGATCCAAGCAATTCTTTTGCCTCAGCATCCTGAGCACATGCCACCACGCCCAGCTAATTTTTATATTTTTAGTAGAGACAGGGTTTCGCCATGTTGGCCAGGATGGTCTTGAGCTCCTGACCTCGTGATCCGCCCACCTTGGCCTCAGATTACAGGCATGAGCCACCGTCGCCCGGCTCTGCAGGCATCTTTTAAAGTAACTGTCATATGCCTAACACTGTGCCCTGAGTATTATTTTTTAAAGATGTGATTGCTCACTGAGAAAATTTGCTTTGTATTTTAGAAGTTCTTCCACCTAGGCCAGGCGTGGTGGCTCACGCCTGTAATCCCAGCACTTTTGGGAGGCCAAGGCAGGTGGATCATGAGGTCAGGAGATCAAGACCATCCTGGCTAACACA